TAAAACTCTTGATACCTTCTTGGTGGGGGGCCGTGTCTGTGCTCTGAGGCTTGGGGAATTATGGTGGGACGCCCTGTTCCTGCTGCCTACATGGCTTCCCGCTTCTTGGTTCATGGAGGGAGGTGGAGCCAAATTTCTTTAAGGGTTAAAATGGCGTTGGAATGAGGAGAGCCGGTTAAAGTATGGATTTTCTATGAATTTATAAAGCTAGGTATCTTCCCTGAGCTGTCAAGTCAAAAGGATACATCCAGGCATGATATTTGTAACATTGTAACAACTTTAAAGATGTGGGGGGGGGGGCCCTGTCATTTCTGTAACAAAGTGAACTTGCCTTCTGCCTGTTCCTCAGCATCCCATTGCAGGATGAGTGCCTCCTTCCTCCTGCCATTTTGCCTCCCTGAGGAAGAAGACCCCCCCAGAGCTGCTGCCCACCGAGGTCTGGGCTGGGAAGAGGGAGAGGCCACCTTTATAGCCAGGCAACTGACAGGTGCCTTTGTGACATCATAGACAGCCCCCAGCCAATGAGAGCACCTGTGGACGCATCACCACAACCTCTTTGGGAATCACAACTGGGGCTGCACCTCAGCACCAAGGGACCGTTTGTTCACTTACTAATAAAAAGTCATAAATTGGTCTAAGCCACCCTGAGCAATGCAAGAGTCCTGGAAGGGATATATGCTTTTCTAAATAAATATAACCTCCCCAGGAAATATCCCCATATCTCCCCACACCCAGGATCCTTGGAATTCTTGTTGCCAGGCAGACCACCATCTTCTGAACTGGATTAAATAATTTATTTCTGTTTAATGGTGAACCTAACCCCCTGACAGCACACACCTATTTTAATGGCACATTTAAAGCTCCTTTAATGGGACGCGGGTGGCGCTGTGGTCTAACCACTGAGCCTCTTGGGCTTGCCGATCAAAAGGTCAGTGGTTCGAATCCCCGTGATGGGGTGAGCTCCCGTTGCTCAGTGACTTATTTCTTTGTCTGTTGGTTATTAAAAACACTGTTAGTCCCCCAATGCTCAGGTGGGGGAGATGTTTGGCCCAGCTGCTCAGGGGTCTTCACACCCACCCCACTGGGAACCTGACATGTCCTCCTGAGACAAATCCTGCCACTCACACCACATCCTGGCTGTCGCCGTGGGGCGCAGGGCAGAGGGGGGCCCCAAAGAGTGTGAGGCCCTCCCACCTGACACTGCCCACCAGTGGGGACAGGAAAGAGGGAGGTGGATTTGGGAGGCATGAATCAAAAGTGCCCAGCAGAAGCCGTGACCCACAGGAGTGGGTATTTATGCCCTAGTGTGGACACAGCAGCCATGTCACATTGTCTGTTGGGCACCTTGGACAGAGTTAACAGAGAGCTTGTCCACTGCAGATTTGAAGCGGCTGATGTCTCGTTGTGCAGCATCCAGACAACATCCTCCTCATCCAAGTGGCAGCCCAGAGCTCCCCACACCAGAATTGTTATAGGAACCCCAGGGTCTCATATATATCAATCATATGTTTTTGACTACAGCTCCCATCTCATTTTTTCCGTTTTTCATTTTTCATTCGTATGCCGCCTTTCCACAGTTACAAAACAATGCTCAAGGCGGCTTACAGCATAACAAGATCTACATAATTACAAAAGTCGTAAGCATCTGCCTCAGCCAGGATGACTTCAGTATGCCTGTTAGCCCACCTCTTCAGCGCCTGCATGGGCTGGGCGACCGGAACTCCTTCTCTGACCCTCCGATCAGAGGAACATAGGAGCACCAACGAGGAGCAGGTCCTGTGGCTGTGGACTCACAGCTTGCTCATGTTTGCACCCAAACTCAGCAGAGTAACAGAAGCAAAGCTGTTGGAGGTTTTTGCAGCATACCTAATTTATTTCTACAATTAGTCAAATAAAAGAACATAACAAACATGGAGGAGAGATCCTGCCTCCTTGCAAGAAAAAGCACAACAGTACCAAGGACGGAAGTCTCGAAGTATGAAAGTAGACAATAGGATCGGGTGATCCTTTGCAATGGGAGGGATGAAAATACTGACAGATGACCCCCTAGGAATTTATAGAATTTAATGCCCTAAACGGCCACAGCCCTGTATACCTGAAGGAAGAAGAAGACGAGTTTTGGATTCTCCCTGCTGCTTCCGGAATCCATTCTTCTTGGTGTTTTGCTTTTAAGACACCGCTGATGTAAAAAAACCCATTCCCTCCATTTGTTTCCTGAACCACAACCACCATGGTGCACAGGTGTTCCTGAGGGATCTCTTCGCCAATTATTGACTTTGAAAGAAGGAATTGCCATCTTCCTGAAGGGTTCTAAACTTCTGCCAGCTTCATGATAAAGCTTTGAGGAAATGTCAAATAAAAAACCAAGACATTAATTGTATATAATCTGCTGTGGTATTTCCTCACCTTCACTATCAAGAATGCTGAGGTGCAATCGCTTTCAAGGATTTCTGGTTAATAATAATAATATAAATTTTATTATGTATACCCTGCCCATCCGGCTGGGTTCCCCAGCCAACAGGTGGGATTTCTACATCCATGTCCTCTTAACGCAGGGGTCCTCAAACTTTTTTAAACAGGGGGCCGGTTCACTGTCCCTCAGACAGTGTTGGGGCCAGATGACAGTTTGAAAAAAATATGAACGAATTCCTATGCAAACTACACATATTTTATTTGTGGTGGCAAAAACAATATAATATTTAAAATTTTTAATCAACATAAATTTATAAGTATTTCAATAGGAAGTACGGGCCTGCTTTTGGCCTAATGAGATGGTCAATATCCGTTCCATATTTGTCACTGCTAGTCATATGAGGGATGCAAGCGGCTTTGGCTCATTCCACCAGCTCATTACAAGAAAAACAGTCATGAAGAAAGAGGTTTGCTTTTCCACCTCCTCCCTCTCTTTTTTTCCTTTAGTGCTGTGTCTTCCCCACTGTAAGCCTGAGAAGGCCAAACTCTGCCGGTTTCTGCGAAAAGCTAAAACAGCCCATACTGAGCCCTTCCCAAGAATGACAACCACCATCAGTCATGATTAAATGGGCATAAGATGTAGGTCACAACATTATGATGGAAAGATTGGGGGAAATTATGAAAACTGGATTTTAAAATTACAGATTGTTCCCTTTTGAAGGAGAATTACATGAAGATGATGTACAGATGGTACATGACACCAGTGGCAGCTAGGGAAAATGTACAAAAACTAGTTCAAATATATGTTGGAAGTGTAAGGAAAAGGAAGGGACATTTTATCATATGTGGTGGGATTGTAATTAAAAAAATTTGGGAAATGATATACAACGAATTGAAGAAAATGTTCCATCTAACATTTGTTAAAAAACATGAGGCATTTTTGTTAGGGATTGTAGGGAAATATCTACCAAAAAAGCTGAAAAACATCTTCATGTATGCGACAATGACCGCGAGAGTCCTAATAGCACAAGGATGGAAGACTGAAGAAACCCCAACTAAAGAATCGTGGCAAGAAAAACTGATGGACTATGCAGAACTGGCAAAATTGACACATAAGCTACGGGACAAGGATAACTGTGACTTTAAAGATGAATGGGAACCTTTCACAAAGTATCTGAAGGCGCAACAAAGCGAACTGGACTCCTTGGCAGGTTTTGAATAAACATACACAAACTTTTTATTGACAATAATCAGTTAAATAATTTAAGGTTTTATACAACTTTGTAACATGCAGAGGACAGCATTCACAGAGAAATCAAACACTGGAACTGAGGGAAGCCGGGGGGGGGGTTTGGGGTGGGTGGGTTTTGTGGGGGGTGGGGTGGGGGAGGAGGAAATGGGGGGAAAGGCCCCATCTAGCAAACTATCTCAAAGTTCTAGACAACGCTAAACACCGATGGGCATTTTCCAGGGCCCGCTTTAACGCTCTCCCTTCAGCTCTGCTAGAGGGAAGATACAACAAAATACTGATCGAACAAAGATTATGTCCCTGTAACAGCGATGAAATCGAAACCATTGGGCATGTCATCTTATACTGCCCATTATATCGAGACTCAAGAAAAGAGCTGATCGAGCCGATTCTGAGGAGAATACCTCGCAGTACAGACGACACCTATATCAGACACCTCTTAGCTGACAAAGAGCCCGAAATTAACAGGTCCGTGGCAAAGTACTGTTACATTGCAACAAGAATAAGACGAGCAATGATGTCTACAAAGGAGCCCAAACTGTAAACATCGAAGGAGCGATAATAAACAGTAGCGACTCTTGAATTGAATTTTTAAAAACTTAAAACTCGAAACCTGGTCATAAATATAAGCACCAATTCTGAGAATTGGCCATATTTTTACTGCTACTTCTAGCACAATACTACTCTTAATGTCATATTTTATAAATTGCTTCCTGGTCACTGACCGTATTAAAGATATTTGATTTGGGGAAAAAGAATTAAGGATGACATGTTTTTGGATAATATGTTTTCTTTAAATCTTCAATAAAAATTATACAAAGAAGAAGAAGAAGAAGAGGACAATCCAGCAACTAGACCTGCGTAGCTACAACCCAAAATCCAACCAGCAAACAAAGCCTCCCTTCAGCATCCCGGCCCTTACTCCAGGGAAGCGGGACCAGTGGCCCTCAGGCAGCTCTCAGACTCAATCTCCCATCAGGTCGTGCTGGCAGGGGCTGATGGGGGTTGTAGTCCATGAGCAGTCTGAGGAGCCCACAGGCTTCCCACGGGGAGGGGGGATTCAGGACAGGGATGGCTCCTCCCACCAGCCCCAGCCAGAGCGGCTTGTGCTCCAGGGCGATGCGAGTTCGAGTCTCACCAGAGCTGGAGGGGGAGGACTTCTCTCTCTCCGCTCCCTTCCCGGGCACCTTTGCAAGGTGGGTGGCCTGGGGCTACAGGAGACATGTTGCCCCCCCTGGCCAGGCTCGGTTCCTGCACTCCGGGGTCCTGTGGGAGGCTGCCCCTTCCCAGCTCGCAGGCAGAGGTCCAACAGGTGCAGCTCCCCTCCTCCTGCCCCTACTCACGGGGACGCCCTTCCTGCGAGTGCATCCAGATCCAGCGGTCGCTGATTTTGAAGATGACGAGCGGGTGCAGGGCTACTGACACACTCCCTGTCACGCCCAACACCATAATCGCCGGTGCCTCTGCTGTGAACTGAGAAATCTGAGGGCTCCCTTAGACAAAAAAACAAGGACACCAGCCAGGAATACCAGGGCAAAAAAGCAGCCAGTTGGCTTGGTCTTTATTGAAGACTGTCAGGACTCCCACCTGCCACCAGGTGGAACAAGATGGAAGCCCTGAACAAAAGAAGACCCCAACTTTTATCAGCTACTAATCCCGCAAACTACACCTCTAAGACTACATCATGACCACATCATTGACACGTCACGAAGAGGAGGGGTTGAGGGAGGAGTTGTGGTGGTAACCTGAGTGTCTTGTCACCTGTCCAGTTCCTCCTTTCCCCCTCCCCATGAGTACTTTCCAGAGGACAAAAGGGAGTTTGCAGTTTCCTGCCCCCAGAGGGAAGGGCTGGTCACTGTCCTTTGTTTCAGTCCGTGCTAAATCCATTCCCATATGCAGGTCCTTTGTGAGTGTGATGATCTTCTGTCTAGGACCATCAAGGTTGGCATGCCAACTGGGTAGGGCTCACTGCGGACGTGTTGGCTGCCTTGTGTCAAGTCTCCCTCCTTTGATAGTCCTTCCCTCATGGTGTAAAATAAAAGTGGAATGGTGCAGCTCCGATGTACGGGTGATTTTCTATGAATTTATAACAGAAGCATCATGTATGTCGTGTGTGAGTGTATGTGTCGAGTTTGTACAAACTGAATGATGGGGGGGGTTTCCTGCAACACTGCAGAGACCGAGGGAGTGTGAGGACTAAGGGAGGAGGCCCGGGGTCTCTGCCCTTCCCCTCTGCCCCCCCCCCCAGTCAGGCACCCCTCCCCCGCTGCCTCCCATGCTTACCTGCCACATCCACCATGCTGGCCCCACTGCTGCTCCTGCCTGGTCAAGAACCGCCTCTGGGAGCAGCCGCCATCTTGGCCATGTATGTCCCGTCACACTCGCCGTAGAAAAACCTCCCCAACTGACAAGGGGCACATGTGCGTCGGGAGTGAGGCCAAAGAGATACGAATAAGGGTGGCGGTGGTGGAGGCAATTGCCAGGCAGGCCGGGTTCAGGACCCTGGCGGGCCGGATCTGGCCCGCGGACCGTAGTTCGAGGACCTCTGTCTTAGTCTGTAGCATTCCCAAAGCAAGGAAGGATTGGACTCTGATTAATAGAATACACAGGAGGCTTGAGCAGCAAGACTCTGGGAGGAGTGCGTATAATAATAATTCCTCTCCACCCTCCGGCCCAGGTCGTTTTATTCACAAAAGAACTTTTTACACAGTGTTCGTAAGAACCAATCAGATTTCCTCTGAGCATTTCAAAAAACCCCACGTGGGACAAAGTCAGATCAGAAGCAATTCTTTTAACTACAAAGAAACTATTTCCTACTTGAGCATGCATAGTTCAGGGTAAATAAAATAGGGAGCAAGGAGGAATGCTTTTAGGAAACTCTGGAGGTCGTAAACAGCAGTAAACAGGAAAGGCAGGATGGCAGTATTTACCATCTTTGTGAACTCTCTTCCTGGCCCTAAGATCAACAAAACTAACAATAACTACATCAAAGAAGCTGCTTACTATCTTGATGGCCCAGGGATGCAACTGGTGAAGCAACTGGCCTGTGCTTAGAATGCTGATACGTGCCTGTCAGGCAGAGAAATAGGACAGAGACGCAGAGGCATGGATTATCAGAAATCATATCAAAATGTCTCAAACCCAGTCAACGCAATGCTTTCATTGCTGACATAAATGGCGTGCTCCATATTTTTTATAATTCCTCATAGCAATCCCACCTGATCACTACATTAGTGCATAATTCTCTGGCTTCCTTCGTTGTGCGACTAGTTCTCTTTGTGAGGGATCCCTGGCAAATAGGACTTGCAGTCTCCACAAGGCGTCACTTGGCCTCCTCTATGGCTCTGCTCTCTGGCACAGGCAAAATCACAGACCCCCTTGGTTCTGACCAACAAATCGGAGAGACGAAAGAAGGCTGCTCAAATGATGTTTATTGGACAACGAACACCGCTTCCATCAGTTCTGCCCGTGCCCCTTTCCACGCGACGCATGGCTGGTTATCCCTGAGACTCATCCTCCAACTTTGTTCCATAGACTTCCACCTCACACAAGGTCAGGATAGCTAGTCCATAGTGGTTCACGCTCACATAGCGACCCTTCATCCCTTGGCAATTGATGGTGCTGATGGAGCCAAGGCTATCATCTGTGATGGTCCCACAACTACAGAGAGAAACGGAAGGTCAACCTTGGGGTGGAAACAATTCAGAATGACTCCGTCTACCCTCTGAGGTATTTCCATGGCTGCGGGAGCCCCTGGCTCACTAGCAGTACATGTTACAGATAGGTAGCCGTGTTGGTCTGCCATAGTCAAAACAAAAAAAATCCTTCCAGTAGCACCTTAAAGACCAACTAAGGTAGTTCTTGGTATGAGCTTTCGTGTGCAAGCACACTTCTTCAGATACCTGAAGAAGTCTGAAGAAGTGTGCTTGCACACGAAAGCTCATACCAAGAACTACCTTAGTTGGTCTTTAAGGTGCTACAGTGTGATGCAGCAGCAAAAAAAGCCAATGCTCTTCTAGGCTGCATCAACAGAAGTCTAGTGTCCAGATCAAGGGAAATAATAGTACCCCTCTATTCTGCCTTAGTCAGAACATGCCTGGAGTCCTGTGTCCAGTTCTGGGCACCACAGTCTCAGAAGGATGTTGACAAGCTGGAAGGTTTGCAGAGGAGGGTGTGGCATCACACAGGGTCCCAGGACATTTGACGGTCTATTGATCCCTGTGCCACCACTATGATCACTACCCCGCTGCCACCAACCCGTTTCTGTCGGGTACACACTGAGTCCAGACAGTTGTTAACATTAAAACAAATAATCAAGTTTATTTTATAAGCCTTAACAGGTTTATGGTTTCAGATAATTTTTCTTGTCAATTTCTTATCCTTAGTTTCTATACTGGCCTATACCTTCCTAATAACTTCTAACTGATTATCCCAACTGTCTATCTGACTCCTCCTAACAGTTTCACTCACTCTCACATCAAAACTAGACCAACCCACAGACTTGTCTTCCCTCTTCCTTCTCCAACTCCCAACTGACTTCCACACAACTCCAACTCTAACTCTAACTCCTCCTCTTGGGTTCCCACTGGCCAATCACTTCACACTCATTTAACCCTTTCCTTATGACCCACCTAGGAGGGCAAACGCCACAAAGGGCAACCAAGATGATCAAGGGTCTGGAAACCAAGCCTTATGAAGCACAGTTGAGGGACCTGGGTAGTTTTAGCCTGGAAAAGAGGTGACTGAGAGGAGATATGATAGCCATCTTCCAATATCTTAGGGCTGTCACATGGAGGAGGGAACATGCTTGTTCACTCTCGAGGATAGGATTCAAACCAAAGGGGACTCCAAGGGGAAGTCATGGCTTCATGCTTGATGAAGAAGGCAGGAGTGTCAGGGAAGAGGGAGAGCGAAAGAAGAGGGAGGGGAGGAAAGATGAGAAGTTCAGTCTTGGACTTACTGAACTTGAGACATCAGTGAAGCATCCAAGTGGAGAAGTCAGAGAGGCCGTTCCACCTAGGAGCAGGAATTAGCCCTTGCCATGCCACACAGAAGCAGGTCTTGAAATATGGGCAGAATCCACTACCCCCTGCTCCCCCCCCCCGATTGGGAATAGAACAAAGGAGCTACAAGTGAACGAATCTGCAGGCGGTGATCTTGAGAGTGTCTCCTAGGATGCCTTGGCTGAAGGACAAGTGGGGAGGGGAGGGGCAACGGGAACTTACAGGGGGTTGAACTTGCCATTGTCAATCACGTGGTCTCCCACACGGATCTGGGCACCCAGGAGTCTCTTGCTGCAGCAGTCTGCACGGTTTTTCACCACCACAGAGGAGATAGCATACCGGTCGTCCAATTCCACATGCCACCATGGTCCATATTCTTCATGGGTGTGGGTGCAGGAGGCATGACTGAAGACCCCATCAGAGTTCCCATCGACAGCTTTGCCGGCTGCCGGATTGCTTGGATGGGGGTTAGTGGAGGACTGACAGGCTGGGCGGCCTCTGGCCAAGTTGCGAGGTAGAGCAACAGCTTGATGGAAAGAAGACGGGGCAGAAGAAGGAGGAGAAGAGGAAGAAGAAGAAGAAGAGTTTGAATTTGATATCCCGCTTTATCACTACCCTAGGGAGTCTCTAAGTGGCTAACATTCTCCTTTCCCTTCCTCCCCCACAACAAACACTCTGTGAGGTGAGTGGGGCTGAGAGACTTCAAGAAGTGTGACTGGCCCAAGGTCACTCAGCAGCCGCATGTGGAGGAGCGGAGACGCGAACCCTGTTCCCCAGATTACGAGTCCACCGCTCTTAACCATTACACCATGCTGTCTCTGCAAGTAAGGGAGCAGTAAGAACACAAGAATAGTCCTGACGCAGCAGGATCAGGCCAAAAGGGCCCATCTAATCCAGCATCCTGTTCTCCCAGTTGCCACCCATATTAAGAACTAGCAGTTAACCTACAGATAACAGCAGTGCCAATAAATGTCATTCTGTTTTACAAAATTTATATTGCATTTGCCAGTCATAAATCCTCCGAGTGGTTTGCTGGCCAGAATGAGACTTTGTGGGCGATCAGTTTCCAGGTCCAGAAGTTGGGGGCTTCCCCATTGCCAGATGAGATTGTGAACCCTCTGAAGGATGAGGTGCAGAGTTTTGGGGGGCTCCTAGATCCATCTTTCTTAATGGAGCTTCAGATTACCTCTGTGGGCAGAAGCTCCCATTTGCACCAACTCTGCCCTTTCCGGGACAGGAATACTTTGGCCACGGCGATGCATGCGTTGGTAATCTTACAACTGGTGTACTGTAATGCACCCTATGTGGGACGTCCCTTGGGATGGGTTCAGAAGCTGCAGCTGGCGCATGATTCTGTGGCCAAGTTGCTGAGTGGACCTGTGCTGAGGAAGCTGTCAGTTACCTGCCGGGGCATCTTCGAGGACTTGTTTCTAACATGTAAACACCTGAACGACTTGGGACCAGGTGAACTGAAGGAGTTTCAGCCCTGACATAGACCCGGAGGGTCACCTATTTTTTGGACCAGTGGCTACATTTTGAATTTTGAGAGAATGCAGTGGATGCCAGCCACAACATGGAAATCTTCCTCATTGCTGCTCCCCCCCACCAACTCCTAGGCCCCCTACCCATGCATGGAGTAAGGTGACCTCCAGATTTTCACTGTCAGAAACCAGCTTATAGGCCATTGTTGGGGAGGAATAAGAGTGCCCTCTGTTCATGGGGAGGGGCACCGTTTTGCTTGCCCACAGGCGATTACCCCTTTCCATTCCCTTTTCCCCGCTCTTACTGGTACTTTCCAGGTCAGGCTCGGAGTTCTGGGCCTCCCCACGCCCTGCCAGAAGTACCAGGGGCAGCAGCGAAGTCCAGACGAGGAGCATCCTGCAAGGAGAGAGCAGAGAAGGCAGTGAGGGGAGGCTAGGCTGGAAGCCATGGGGGTCGTGTTCCTCCTTAGCAGCATGTTAACGGAGAAATCTGAGGGCTCCCTTGGACAAAAAACAAGGACACCAGCCAGGAATACCAGCAGCCAGGAGGCTTGGTCTTTATTGAAGACTGTCGCGACAGGACTCCCACCTGCCACCAGATGGAAGCCCCGAACAACGGAACCCCCAAACTTTTATTGGCTGCTAATCCCCCATGCTACACCCCTAAGACTACATCATAACTACATCATGACTACATCACTGACACATCACAAAGAGGAGGGGTTCAGGGAGTTGTGGAGGTAACCTGAGTGTCTTGTCACCTGTCCGGTTCCTCCTTTCCCCCTCCCCATGATTACATTCCTGAGGACAAAGAGGAGTTCACTGTTTTCTGCCCCCAGAGGGAAGGGCTGGTCACTGTCCTTTGTTTCAGTCCCTCTGAATCCACTTCCATATGCAGGTCCTTTGTGAGTGGAATTATCTTCTGTCTAGGACAATCAAGGTTGGCATGCCAACTGGGTAGGACATGTTGGCTGCCTTGTGTCAAGTCTCCCATCTTTGATAGTCCTTCCCTCATGGTGTAAAATAAAAGTGGAACGGTGCAGATCCGATGTACAGGTGATTTTCTATGAATTTATAACAGAAGCGTCGTGTATGATGTGTGTGTCGTGTTTGTACAAACTGAATGATTGGGGGGGGGGGTTCCTGCAACAAGAGCTATTGGGTTGGCCTGGAGAGCTCTTATTCTCCAAAGTGATAGAGGCGCCTGTGGCATTTGCCCTAATTGTAAAATGACTAAGCCTAATTGTAAAATGACTAAGCAATGGGAACCCAGGGGGCAGAGTTAACTGTGTATAAGGTTTAAGCCCATAGGTTTTTTGAGAGAGTTAGAGTTGTTGAGAAGACAGTCTGGAGTTAGAAGAGACAGAGAGGATAAGTGTTACGGCTAAAATCTGGGTGCGGGGCTACTCTGCCACCCAGCTCGTCGGACTAAGTGTCCGCGCGTCCCTGCGGAAGAAAATGAGCTCAGCCGGACAGGAGCAAACTGCAGAAGATCCAAGTTTATTGCGCAACAGGTTCAAGACGAGATTGAACAGCGAGAAAGGGGTGGCATGAACTTTTGAAACTCCCTCCATGTCCCAGAATACAGTGCAAAATACATCCCAGTTACATCATGAATACATTAAGGAAAGGTTGGGTTACACAGATTACATCATGAATACATTAAGGAGAGGTTGGGTTACACTGGATTAACATATGGAGGAGGGAGGGGGGAATATGCAGAGAGCTGGAGATATGCGCAGATAAGCACATCCTGAGAAGACAATGGTCCATGTATGCGTAGTCTGTCACCTGGCATTGCCCGGAGGAAAGGTTTGGCAGAGTGATTTTGACACACTTGAGAGATTATGGAGGACAGGGGAGGGGTGATGGAGTCCTAGAGAAATTGAGCAAATATTTGTAGTGAAGAAGACATGCCCCCCTCCCCCTTCCGTAACAGTCCCCCATTCGGAGATAGATTTGCATTAAAGTTCTGTAAGAACTTGCAAATCTTTTCTCCGCACCCTAAATCTCGGTGAATGTAGGGGTTCCCTGTGAGTGGGAATACGCTCTAATGGAAAGGAGGTGGGTTGAGCAGGGCAGCAAAAGAGGGAGCAACACGGACGAATACAATGTACACGCGTGTTATATATATGCGCTAAATAATAACTTGGTATCTACCGTACCAGATGTGTGGGTTTATGCAAAGCTGAAAGGGACTTGCAAGCCATGCCTCTTACGGTCATTTGCAAGTATAGCAGTGCAGATAGCTGGATATAGGGTATTATATAAAAACATCTGTTGTATTTTGTTACTAAATTACTTGTGGCACCCTAGCTCTTGGGAGAAACATTTTCAATAGTGGTGTATGCTTTACATTTAGCAGGAAGGTCCACTACTGACTGAAAAAAAAATGCAGTTTGCTTTTTTTTTTTTTAGCCCCACCGTTTTTGTGTTTTCAGGTGCCAAGCTAGCTCTTCTGTGGTCTCACACCGGCATAGTGGTACAGTAACACATCCTGTTGAATCCCCTCAGGGCTTTCATTTAACCGTGTCGCCTGGCACTCACCATAGCTGGCACAGGCTTGGATACATCATGAGAGATATGTCTTCGCCTTGGTCTTTCTATGGGGTTTTTCATTATTGCAGGCTGTCTCGCACTCATGGAAAGTTGTCCACTTGCTCTTAAAGGACCAAAAGCTAGTTGCAGCCTGGATACACGTGCCCAATTCCAGTAGAGTCCAATTGAATTTATCTTGCCCCGTGGTTCTCAACTTTTCAAAACCAATATGTTAAAACCAAAGCCATTCTTTAAGGGGGCATTTGTCCAAATGAGTCAATTTAACTCTATAAGGGACCATTCTTGCTACATGAAGGCATATACACGTTTCTTGTTATCAATAATAATATAACATATGGTAGTCGTGTCCTCAAATAAATAAATAAAATTTGGGACATGATCTACACCCAATTTCATCTGGCATCCTAATCAAAACATCCCAAATAATAATAAAGAGTGTTGTTTCAAAAACTACCTGATAAAATATGGTTCCAAGAATAATACTTGGTTGTGGTTAGATTAATTTCACAGCTATTCGGGAAATCCAAGATTAATAAATAAATACAGAACAATTGCTACTTAAAGACAGTACTGAATCTGCAAGAGATACAGAAGTCATAGAAGAGATTCAAAGTAGTTTTCTGGAACAGAAAGAAAGTGACTGCAAAGAGAGAAAGAAATAGTAAAAAAATAATAATTTCTTTCTGGGAACTTCGTGTATAGAAAAACAAATCACTATTTGTGTCCTTTGAATAATAAAAAATATTTTTTTGTGACAAAATTAAAATAAATGAATGAATGAATGAATGGGCACACTGCAGAGTGCTAGGTGGGACAAGCAAATATGATCATCAGTTGACTTAATCTAAATATAGCCTGCTCTATCGGAAAGCATGTAATATAGGAGAATCCTCCATGAAAAAAAACTTGGGGTGTAAGCCAAACCCTTCTGTTGTTCATAGTTATGCACCCTTCATTATACAGAAATAATTACACACAGAAATTTTGTCCCCCTTTGTGGGGGTAACACACTATCAGACACATTTCAGCATTCCTACATAATAACACATAATACACAAAACAAACTAATTAAATATCAGTTGCATATTGACACAATTGTGATCTTTTACGCATGTATCTTTTGAATCCCTGGAGCACAGAGGCTTGAGGTTCAAGTGAAAAAATGTCCTCGCAATTCAACTCCTCCCCCCTTTGTCAGCCCCACCTCCCCGTCAGTCTATATCCTTTGAAAGAGATAGCTGTGGGCACTTTATTGCAGGTCTTGTGATGGTGAAGAACTCTGAGTTGAGGGGTTGCTGCTGCCTTTTCATCATCGCACATCTGTAGAAGTGATATCCTGTAAGGGGCAGGGTTTTTGGGGGACACTTAAAAGACAGTTAGAAAAAGGAAGGAGCAAAAGCCCCCTCCCCAAGAAAATCTCCTTGAGTTATTAGCTGCGAATAATAAAATCTTAACATGTTAAGCATTTTACTCATTTTAATATTATTATCACATTTCCATATAATTACTGTTATTATCTGCTAAGTTTGTTTGCTTTCCTTCATTTAGTTTTTTTCTCTCCATATTATTAAATAAAAAATTACTCCACGTGTAGAGAAAGAGAACTGTAAAAAAAATACAAGAAAGTTTAAAAAATAAAAAGAAAGCAAAAAATTAGATTACCATTCAGATGAAAACGAACTTGACACAAAGACATCAGATTCAGAAAAAAATTATTATTAAATAATACAAAGATTTTATCAAAACCACAGATTACTACTGGACTAAAAAATGGGAAAACAATGGAAAAAGGCTTCAAATTCAGCATGTGCTATCTGATAAGTAGAACTTGATGAAAATGACTTTCAACATGTGATGGACATGTCCCCAAAGTAAAACACACACACACACACACACACACACACAATGACCTATGAGGAACCAAAAATAATTAAATGCTAAGACACACATTTTTTTTTAAAAAAAACACAACCTGAAGTAATCTGTTTTGGCATTCTAACAACCCAATGAAAAACTGATTAATAAATGAAAACAGATTATTTGTAACCTAAAAAAGTGTCAAAGATAGAGGAAAATCAACTAATATAGCAGGGATTCAGACTTGTTTTGCTGAACAGAAAGAAAGTGACTGTTTGGCTTTAAGGGAAGAAAGACAAAAGAAATACAAATGCAATTACTTTTTATAGAGTATTTAAATCACTGTTTGCATCCCCTCATTATCATTTGTGCTGTGGGAGAAAAGAAGGGACGAACACTTTGTTAATGGGGTTCACATATCCTGTAAAAAGGGGAAATTATTTCATGTGAGAAGTCTGTCAGGAAATGCTGTTCCTAAAATGCATAGGCATATACACACACAAAAAAAACTGTTATAAAATTTAAATCCCATTGGGGAGGCAAACTACTCAAGAGAGGAACTCACAGTGGGAGTGCTTTGATATTTACCTGTGAAAAGAAATCGACATGTCAAGACCTGAAACCTGGCAACCTCTTGACCCTTGATGGTCCAGTACCCAACCCCTTTGTCTTAATTAGCCCCTGGAGCAAAAGACACATCAAGGATGATCTCCCCCAATGGTTCCAAGTTCCACACAAGGAAATTTGAATAGGTTTCTCCCCGCAGCACACTCTCCAAACCTCCTCTCCCCCCTCCTTCCTCTCTCTCTCTCTCTCTTTTAAGCTGATCTAGCCTCTGTGCATGTGCAGAGTTCATGTCTCAGCAAACCCTTTATACTATTGAAAATGTTGCATCTTTTGGCTAAATTAGAATTTGAATAAGGGAAGGGAAGGGTAAGGAGTAGATTTTAAAAATAGGGTTAGATTTTAAAACAAAAAAGGAGAAACTCAGCAATTCAAGTATTCACCAAAGCTAGCAATTGCAGCCCAAGCAAAGGACTGCTTCCTTTATGTACAGGAAAGGGCTAATATCCCTCTGGTTAGTCGCGGAACAATGCCACGCCCTTATATATGGGAAAATGGCCAGAGAGTCAGAATTCATAGGATTTATTATTATTATTATTATTATTATTATTATTATTATTATTATTATTAAATATTCTCAGTCATTCAGCCTCACCATTTGCAAATTTTTCTGTCCTTTATTTACAGGATGGATGGTTAAGGCTCATTCTACTTGACTATATGAATTTTATGTGCTTAAACTTTGAATAGACTTTTAAGTTTGATTTTTGTAAATAATAGACAAAATGATAAATACTGTAATCACTCAAATGCTTGATATCACCAGTTGTGCTTCAAAAACATCACGGCTTTCACCCCTCACCTTTTAAAAACAAAGAGCAAATCTGGGCTGAATTTCAACTCATCAGCCACAAATTGGGAGAGTTGAAAGGGACCCTGGGGTCATCTAGCCCAACCCTAAAATACAGGGTTCATAGCAAGATTTGTACTACCAGAGAGACACACACATACTTATGTACACAGACACAAC